AAAATTCTGACATCAAATTCATTCAATAGGTGGTTATGTCAAATTCTGACATCAAATTCATTCAATAGGTGGTTATGTCAAATTCTGATATCAAAGATTAATTCAACAGGTGTTATGTCAGTCAATTTCTGATATAAAATTCATTCAACAGGTGGTTAGGTAAAAATTCTTTGATGAAAGTTTCATTCAACAGGTGGTCATGTCAAATTTTTACATATAATAATTTAACAAGCGATTATGTCAAATTTTGATATAAAAAATAATTCAACAGGCAATCATGTCAGAAAGAGTTGATGGTTGATTGTCTTGTATTGCCTCTATGCCATGTACCGGTATATAAATGTTCAGACAATGAGTAAAAGCATATACTAGTATACAATCTGGAATGTGATGTGTCAAAAATACCTATACAAACAAGCTGCTCTCTGATTGGTCTGACTGTTATGTGTTAGGGTCAGGTAGCCAATCAGGCACAATCTTGTAAGTATTGACCCTATACTGTGGCAAAAAGGCAGTCCAATGGGAGTTTTGAGGTTAAGTTCAAGTTTGGGTTTCCGAAGTTTTTCAGTGCCAAAAGTATTTATGAAATATGAAATATTGACAAACTCAATGTTCAAACATGAAACTGTGAGAATGTATGTAACCTTTCAAAGCTAACATGGATTCTGTCACTATCAGATTAGTATCACACCATGCAAAATACACGCCCAACAATAATGGCGAGAACGCCTCTGCCCTGCCACTCTCAAAGATTGACTAATGTCTACATTTACTAACCCACAGTTCCGCTAATTACCTGCAGTGCCTCGCCTCAATACCATTTGCTGAAAACTCTGACTTCAACCACCACTCTACATAGCTACCACTCCGTAATCTAAGCTCCCACCTGTCTATATCCATTCTGCCACAGAGGGCGCACATCGAAAAATCACATATGCAATTGAAATAAAGATAAATAATAAGAATTCACGACAGATTCTCTTTTGCAACTTTTTGCTTACTGGTATTCTAAACTCTGACACAACAAAAATAGAACGATTTGAAATGTGATCTCTAACGGTTTAGTAATTCGCAACTTCACAAAAACAAATTACCGAAACATGGTGGTGCTATTTGATACAGTGATATGTGGATACAACTGACGTACATTTCTATAATGTGTCATCGCAGATCATTTAAATACTGATTTTTTTCTCTAATTTCCAGCGCATGGGGTGAAAGTTTTTTCCTGGCTGTGCAGAGCATCACCATCGGCATACTGGTTCTATACTACAGTGGCAAAAGTGGAGCGGCTTTAATTTTCCTTAGTCTGTACTCTGTGATGATGTACACTCTATTGTCGGGTTTAGTATCCATTCAGTTTCTGGCATTTCTACAGTCTATGAATATTGTAATGATTGTTATAAGCAGGGTAAGTTAGCACATATCTGTTGGTTGTGTGCCATCACTGTTGTGAGAGGTTAGAACTACATGTAAATTGCCATTAAATACATATTTAGTTTCGGTTTCTCTGTATTTTTGGTAATTCTGAAATTTGAGTTATTCGTGAATGATAAATTTGATTGCCCGAAAAATATAAACCGTGTAAAATCAACCTATCTCAATATCCTTGTGAGAGACCGACTCAGCTCTGTACCATTGTACACATTCTAGCTGACTATTGGACACACCCAGTAATTATAAATACTGTCATTAAGTTGCACCCTCCCCTTTTATACTTTTTAAATTTGATCATTGTTTTTATACAAATATATTTTTTTCAAAAAAAAACAAAATATGAAAATCACAGACCCGGCACTGTAATAGCTGCTGATTTGTAGCAATTCATCATAATATCAGAATGACTATATTTCAGTAGTATTTTAGTTGTGTTGCTGTGCACATAAAGGTAAAGCGGCTCTTTAATGTTCCATGTGATGTGAAATTGTGTGCATATGTGATCACCATAAGCATATTGCAACGTATAATACCAAGAAAGTTTATTGATTGTTGTAACGACCAATGAGCAACAAAGGTTGATGCAATTCCCTAATGTCTGGGTGCAGTATTATGTTGATGATTATACATCTTTTTTGTACTTCAGTAAAACATAACAGCCGGAATTCGTGACAAAAACACATTTTGCAAAAGTATACAATCTGTCATGCATTATATACTATTCTCATCTTAGCATCCATGTTCATCATGGTTTTTTGAGAGGGGATGCTTAGTGAAGCACATCTTTAAAAATTATCCAAATTACGAATTTTCGTTCACAATGCCAGATTAAGGGGAATATAGTCTTTTTTTGAAAAACTAAATTGTTAAATGTGTTGTCGTCATTCATTTCCACGTTTACATAGAAAATAAATGCTCACTAAAAATATGCACATAATATTTACGTAACATTTACAGTGTAAAAATTACAGCGTCAAAGTTGAGAGATTTATCTTGGTTGTTGAATGTATTCAACTGTATTTATAATTTCTGCCATGATGTTTCTCTGCACAATTTGAGCTCCAACCCACGCCCTCTGAACTGACTGGTCATGTCTGTTATAAACCAGTTGTGGAATATACCTGTATATGATGGAATTTTTTCACAATGCACTGCAGAAGTGAATTATTGATATTTAAATACGGCCTGTTGGCATGGATTTCAATGAAACAAAGACAAGATTATTTTTTGTTGTAATTCACAATTTTTGAAAGGTAAACTGAATGTGGAAAAAACCTTTCACAAACATAAACATCCTATTCACCATAATTATTCAGGAGAGTAAAAAAAACGTTCAATGACCGAGTTTCGTAACTTGACGGTTACATTTTGTGGGCGCTAAGTCAAACATGACCCCCAAAACAGATATACCATACCCACTTAGTCAAGCGTGGGAGCAAGGTCGGACGAGTGGTTGTGTGGAAATGTTTGAATGTGCCATCAATAATCTTGAATGCGTCAATGTTTGAGATATAGTTTAACCAATCAAAGGGTGAATTTAAACGTGTAAATCTGTTATGGAGCGGATGTGCTTTTATTTGAAATGGAACAGTAAAATTTGATTGTTTTCGGTGTTAGATGCATAATAATGTTGCGTATCTCATTCTAGGACTGTCATCGATACCAACATCGCTAAAACTTGTCTGTTTTCTCCACAGCTGATGCAAGTGGTGGCAAACCTCAGAAACGGTCACACAGGTCAGCTGTCCTTCATTACCTACCTCATGTTGTTTCTGGGATCCATCGCTCGTATTTTCACGTCAATCCAAGAAACTGGTGATCCTACCATGATAGCTACCTACATTGTATCAACGACATGTAACTGCGTTATAGTATCGCAGATTCTCTACTATTCCAGCGTTAAACCTAAGAAGGAATGAGTTTGTCTAATTAGTGTTTTAAATTGAGTATTTGACTTGTATTTAGCATTTCGAATTTGTATGTAAATTTGTACATTTGACTTTTGATGTCTGCCAATAATAATAAGATGTACTAACATCAAATTTCAATACGAGTTTTTGACACGAATGTTATTTACATAAGTCGTCCATTATACTATCTCCAACACTTGGTGTGGCAGCCCCATATAAAAATAAAAACACCCCTCCCCTCAATTAATTTTTTAGTACACACTTGATTAGCATACCCCCTCCCCTAATCAACTTAGGGTGCTCTCACCTAGAGTGGCATGATAGTTAGAATATCTTCCATGGCTTGGGATATCTCACAGGGTATAACCAGTAATTCAAGGAGACCATTTATGTATATGCAAATTATCTAACAGTATGAAAGTATACTATTAAAGATATGCATATGAATTTTATTTCATTGTTTTTTTTTAATTGTATATTTGTAATTAGTTATAAAAAATTCATCATTTCTCTCATAATTTGCATATTCAAATTTGTGTTATGTGTTTCTTGTTCTCAGTGCTGAAGAGTGTTTAATACGGTGATGTATACAATGTATGTAAAATTCATCTCTAACGTGGTGACTGTTGAAGTAACCATACACAAATTCAGAGAAGAACATCTTGAACTACTTTTTCAGCTAGTACACGTGATGACATGCCATGTAATTTCACTGGGTGGCGACTATATTTTTCCAACTTCGGAAAATGTAACATTTCATGCAAGTAAACAGGACTACAGCGGTGTCAAAAAAATACCTAGAATTTTACAAATGCAAAAAATTGTTTCAATTTTAATATCCGATACACATTGGATGGTAAATTTTGATGAAGTTCAATTTCGACATTGAACTATAAAAAAAGAAATTGAAGTTCCAAATCAAATTTGATTTTAGCCGCAGATGTTTAATTCCACATTTCAGACATTACGTGAAATCTTGCAGTGAAAAGAAAATCCACTTTCATAATACATGAACATCTGACCCTGATCCACACTGATTTCATAAATCACACACATTTTTTACAGTACCGTAACTTTAATGCAGAATAAAAATACAACGCCAACATTACAAACTATGTACATATATATATATATATATCATTACAAGCACCACGTCAACTGAAATCACGCACGAAAAACATCACCAACTTTTCCACTTACGAACATTGATCAATTGTACGTGTTATCACATACATCAACTCGGGGTTCATTTACTACAGTGGATTAGTTGCTCGAAAGCTTAAGTAAATATGCCACAGGTTTTTAATATCTCTGCATCCCATCCGAATGCCGAAAATTCAAAGAAAGTCAACAGTTGAAATCATCCACTTAAAAGTAACGGAACTTTTCTTGACACAAACTGATGCTTATGAGTGCTCATCCATCCTACCCCCCCCCCCACGTTACCACACTCCATCTTTCCCAATGTCCCACTATGGTTCATGTTGAAAGAAAGGAATCCACAGTGAGGCCAAAAATGAGACATTTTAAACATTTTTCCAATCACATTCAAATAGACAGGTGAAAGGGAAAGAGACGAATGAAGGCACTATGTTCTTTACAAGTTTGTTCACATTTTAAAACTTTTATGACAGTCCGGTGACCTTTGACCTCCATCTGGATGGAATATAAATTTAAATACAACATTAAATATACATGTAATTGCAGCAATGCTTATATACTAGAAGGCGTGAATACTTACTAATTATGATAATATCAAAGCTGATATGTAAATGAGTTGTGGAGAAGGCAGAAACCAGACATTCGGAAGTTTGCCATACTCTGTAAACCTAGTTTGGTAATTTTCAACATGTCTCAAGACGCAGAATAAATTGTAAACCATTATTCGTTATCTTAGAAATGTGATGATTGCTATAAATTTATGTTAAACGTCGCGGTCGTTTTAATTTTGCGAAATTAAATGTCAGGTGTCTCGAAAGGAAAATTGTGATGTATGGATTTTGGTGGCAATTTGGTTATTCTATTTTTAGAATATGTCAGAACTTCTTTGGAATCTGCCTTTTCCAGTGCTTATAACGGCCAAGAAGATTTGTTTTCTCCATTTCTTTCTGTCCCGAATATTGCACTTTTTAATATTATTACGCATGTGACGAATTCAGATCATTTGCCTCTATGCAGTTACTAAAACATCATATACCGGTAAGCGTGATTAAAAGCAGAAACGAACAAGCACATTTTATTAAATTAAATTATTGACTGAGTAAACGAGTGCACACACACGCATGCGCACACGTATATATGGGGAAAGCCTGGCATTTCTGTTGCATGATGGTTGCAGTACCGAACAGTAAAATACTGCTTTTATCATCCAACGGATCTGACGTGATGTTATTTTAACGCTGCCATTTTCTTCCTCGTATATTTTGAATCTGGGCGGATGACAGCAGCAGGGTTGAAATGAAACTGGGTGTTTCTGTTTTGTATATCACCAAACTCGCTTGTTTTATTTTACCAAACCACAAGGGAATCCTCTAATATAATCTTGAACAGAGAAACAAATTACCTACATCAACTTAAGATCAAATCACAATCGTGGAAGGCCCGGGAACGTGAATATTCATGTTAGTGGTGGTCGTGTCACAATTATACACACTGGAATGGAGAATTTCGTTCTAAGTGTGCCCCCTCGATCTATGATGAATCGGTCAAGACAGGAGCATGAGATAGGAGGTGAGCAACTGGAGATCACAACGATTTTAAAACGCTGTAAACACGGAAACTACAAAAAGATAATGCTGGGACCGCTGCTCCACGAGATTAAATTTCTATATCGAATCAAATTAAGTAATATTTCAAGAAACTTACATCTAATGTGCTCGTAAAATACAGGAAATGCAAGAACATCTACAAACAACTGCATTGTGGGTTGAAGTGCCAGATAAGAGTGCATTCCATATTTGGAATAATATTTCCTTATTTGGGATAATATATTTTCTTAATTAGAATATTGTATTCCTTATTTGGCACTGCTGGGTGTCTCAAAAAGCTTGGCTATATAGTGACGAATTTTCCTAAAGAACAAATTATTATTTTAGTTTGTGCAAATTTGATATTACGTATATTATGATTAACACCAAAAAATGTGATTAACAGGTCAGAAATTACAGTTAAAAAATATTTTGAAGAATAAAATACAATTCTGACATCAATTTTTTTTTTCATTTCACCAGTTAAAGTTCAGTTATGCACCATTGCGAAAACAGTCAACTTTCAAAAGGCACTGAACAAACTCTCAGAATGCCTCGTCCTCATCCATGGAAACATTTCACGCACGATCACCGCCATTTCACGTAAGGAAAAATACAAGTTGAAAAGTTAAAGCAGCAGCGCCCTCAATGTTGATGTACTGAAACATTTCAGAGTTCGTCGTTGGTGGCGCCAACACCACTAACTTCTGTTCACTCCGCAAACATTCACAAGCAACAGATTGAACGGACAAAAACAAAACAAAATTTACAATTGTCTGCAAACAAGTAGAAATTGAAGGCGTAAAATAAACAGCAGTTTAGTTCATTGCGGTTTATAGAACGATATGTAATCACCTAAAATTAAGTACAGAATCAAAGTTAAATAATAAACAGGATTTTCACCGCAAGTGTTCACACATTCACCATAAAGAAGTGGTTGTTTGGATGAAACCATGGACACCGTTGTTGTGGTGATGCAAATTCATCAGCAACCACAAGCCATCTAGCAATGATGACGCCACATGTCGCCCAGAATTCAAATCGTCGATTCGTTGATCAAATCTGCAATGATAATAATACAAACCCATGAAAGCAATCACATTTTACGACGATATTGGACTGGAAGAAAGTAAATCTAATCACGCGAATTGCTACTTTGTATGGAATGTTGTGATGGTAGTTTTACTAGATAATTGAGAACTGATTGTATATGAATGCGGTCAGGTATATAGGGTTACCGGTAGGCACTGTATTTCTACGAAACAAAAAAAAAAAAAAAAAAAACGGGCTGAGATTCAATTCACGACACGTACGTAAGCAAGGCCTCGAGTCCCCATACATCTTAGTGTCAATATCAGATTTATACATATTCACTTTAAGTCGGCGTATTTTCGATACCGTTGACAATCCCACGTATGATACGTTATTAACTTAGTTACGAAACATTTGGCGTGCGCTATCGTATGTCAAAATCGTTCACGTCCCCATATATCATACAGTTGACAGCGTAATATCACAGCGTCGATAACTTTCGCTTCCCACAGCATCAAACCTTTTATAACTTTTCGCGCGCACGTGAAACTGGACAGGTTGTACATATTATTTTGTGTTCTTCTTATTCTCATTAATAAATGTTTATTAAAAAAATGTAATATTGAAATGCGTTCGCGTAATGCATATCGGAGACGGAGAAGAAAGCCATGTAATGATGTCATATAAGCATGGAAAGGTTAATGCGAGGATGGAAATTAAGTGAATTCTTTTAATATCTGTGACAATTAAGTCAATCATTGCGAAATAGGGGAAATCCTATAAAACCGGCAATCATTAAAATAATGTACAATGTTTTAATCCGGATGTAATTCCCCATTTCAGTCACATACCGTCTAATACGACGATTTCATGATTGCGGCAATCAGTGCAATGAAGTTAATTTACTAGCCGGGTGGGCTTTATCGGGTTCACCGTGCACAAACATCCGCTCTTCTTCAGTGCATTACGCCGGTTAACTTACTTGCAAATCAAAATGAATAGATCGAGCGACTTCTGACAGTTGCGCGCCTAACATTGCGTTTGCGAAAGCGTCGCAGTCGTAACGCGGTGCGTTCTTATTGTGTGTATTTTACACGCGCTGTGTGCGTCCCATTCTCCCTCTCAGTGGTAGAGATACATTCATAAAAATAGAACTCTGTGTGGGAGATTGATTGGACGCAAACACCACGTGGCGAGACACTTAAACGCTGAGATTATGGACAACAATGTAAGTATTCCCTGAATTGCTAAATATTACAACTAATACTGTACGTAATATTTATGCCATGAAAAATACACCAACTAAAAAGATCTTCCCGGAAAATGTTCTAACTGTATGGAAATATACATAAAGTATACATATGCAAGAAAGAAATTCCATAAAGACAACGTGGATTGAACTCCGTTTAAAATTTTTTTTTTTTATTTAATGACCATTCGTTTCGGATTTGCTGAAATTAGCATTCATTTTATTATTTTGAACTTTTATCAAAATGTTGAGCGTTTTTCTCCCTGTGCACATATAGATTTCTCATACAGATTGTGTTGAAACACGCTGACTAAAAAAATATAATAAAAGTTAGCTCTGCTTGAAACGTTCAAGCACGGAGCAAACACAAAATATATAATGTATGGGGCCTCAAATGACATCATTTAATACCAAATGTAAAATAAAAACGAGCACCCACTGACCTCGAACAGTTTAAATATCTGGTACAACAAAAACAATCATTATTTCTTGTCTGGACTAGGACATTATTTTCAGGTTAAATAACAAATCGTATTAATTCAAAGGCGGTATAGCAACCAAGGTTACCACGAATCAATGTTTAATATAATCTTATATTTCCCCGGCAGCTGCGCGCATGCAAATCAGCCACGTGGCGACTAGTATAAACACTGTGTTAAAGGATGGAAGTCGTCGTACCAGGACAGTGTGAGATAATGGTACCTTTACTAAAGATGGCGATTCGATTGTTACGTAGATCAACGCGTAAAAAGGGACATTGAGGACAATCTCGAAGGACATTAAGGAGTCAAAGTCGGTATTTCAGCGCAAAACGGGACCAAATAAGAATGTGTATTCATCTTTGCCAGAGAGAAACAAATCTCGCACATGCGTGGCGCGACAACCTCCACCCTTTAAGAGTGGAAAGAAGGGCGAGTGACGCTTACCTGTAAAATTGTTATTATTCGTAGAGGGCGTTGAGAACACAGCGATTCCGACAAACGAAATCGAGATATGGGTTGTTTTCTGGGACGTCTCTTAACTGCGCTACCTTTAAAAAGTATTCGGCTCGCATTAAGCACGCTGCACTGTCTTCACAGATTTCAGTCATCTCGCCGTAAAAAACTTTATCGCAAAGAGTCTCCGAGAGTTGATACGTGTCACTCTGCGAAAAAAACAAAACAACACATAAATACAATCCCGTTAAATAATTGACCGAAAATCTGAGAATTCCCGAAAATGTATCATATATTTAATTGAAGCTGGGGAGTCATCACCTGCGCATGCGTTATATGCCCATAGCGTGTCATTGTTTACAAACAAGCGTCTACCCATGAGCCTTTGCGTTTTGGCGTAAGTTGTTAACAACGCTTGGGACTCCATTCCCGCGCGTGCGCAGGTGACGACCCTCCCGCTTTAATGTTGATCTATATCAGTATACTTGTCAATAACACATATTGAAGCTACAAAACATGAAATGTAATATCAGCGATTACAATAGTTACTAAGTCTGCAAACAAACGAACAACATCGGAACTTCAATGCAACAAAAGACAGATGGAGAACAGGAGCTGATTCAGAATGATCGATGGAGGGGTACATTTACAATGACGTCATTACCGCATTGAACTATGGGATATATGTGTAGGAGCAACAAGGTCTTAGGGGGGCGCGCGCCGCCCCCGCTTCTCTCTACCCCATGAA